AAACACTTAATATTATTCTCTCCATGATTTAAGCACTTGGAACAGTGTCCCTGTTTTGTTTTGTTTTCTTTTGTTTGGGTTTTTACTTCCTTAGAATCAGGAGGGTTTTCTTCCCAGCACAGTCAAGGGTTTTCTGCCCCTGGTTTTGGTGTCAGGGCAAGGGACCAGGCCCACGACAGGCAGGAATGGACAAACCTGGTGAAGAATTCCCTAGATTTAACTCTTTTCATCCCTGATTCACCACTGTCATGTTACCGTCTGTGTATTACAGACAAAATACATTACGTCCTGGTGTGTTTGTAGAAAGATCACATACTCCATGTGCTTGTTCTTTTTTCAAGTACTTGGGAAACAGAGTAATTTTATCAAACTTCTTAGCAGTCATTTACTCAGTCCAATATATTTTAAAGCTCCTTCTTATGAATGATCATTTTCATATTCAAGCTTTACTAGACTAGAGAACTAGGGTATCCATGTGACAAACTGGCAAACCAAGGGATAGTACTCAAAAGTTGCCCCTGTCATTCTGTGGGAGAAATAAGTGGAGATTAGACACAAGTTGATTTGTCTAGCCAGGGCTAATTGCTGAGTAAATCCATTTCAGAGGTGATAATAGCTATCTTAAAGGATACTTTAAATAAGTGGAGCTGAGAAAAAGGTCATATGGCTGGTAGGCTCTGTTTTATTTGATTTTTGAAGAAGTTGTTTTGAAGGCCCCTAAGACCTGTAGTTTAACAATCATTTCAGCTTAGGCAGTCTCTTAAGCACAAGTGAGAGCAGGATTAAGTGTGAGAAGGATGTGCTACTATTCAGACCTCTGTAAAAGGCTGAGGGCTGATCAACTGAGTAGATTTCTCGATCATCTGATTATATGCTTATAAACATGTATGTTAGGGTGGCGTCTTTTCTTCACTAATTTGTATCTTTGTGCTTAACTTTAAGTCCATTTTGATAAAGTAAGAAGCATGTTTAGAGTCATTTTAACTCACTCCTTAAACTGATGGTTTATAGTCTTGGATTCATTATCTCCTTGGATGGCCTGGCTCCTAGACCTTTTTTGATGATTTTTTGACTGCTGGTTTTTCTAATAACTAATTTTTACTAATAAATTAGCAGTTATATTGTGGAAATTAACTGCCTTAACTGCTGGGCCTTACCTGAAGGTAGATTGCTCCTGGCCACTCATACTGTTCTGGGTTCACAAAAGTTGACTATTCTGCCCTAATGCTGTCTGAAGGGCTAGAAGATCTGAATTTGAAAAACCTTGTAGTTGCTGCCCTTGGTGCTTTGAGGGTGATAAGGCTTTTATTGAAGACGCTACCCTTCTGTCAAATAGTAAGGAAAAGCTAATAACTGCTCTTATTTAAGCATATTTTAAGTGCTTGTTTTCAGCTTTATTTATAATGGGGGAGCATTACTGAGATGGTTATTATGACTCTTGTACAAGGACAATATGAATCTGAAGCTTTTTAAAATTACAGTCTTACTACAGTTCTGATTTTTACACTTTTGAGTCCTAATTGAAAATACATACCTATGTTTGTTCTAAAGAAAAAATAAACCAAGGATAATTGATTATTATAAGGAAATCATAGGCAACACCTTTCTCTAAAAAAATTTACTGATTCATTTTTTAATGACAATTTTAATCATTGTATTTCAGCTTGCATACTGGCCATGTAAGACATGTCGCACGATTTGGGAAGATTTCACAGTGGAGACATATCACTGCTGCAAAGTAATTATACAAGTGAAATGTATTTATGCAGTTTGTGTCACAAGAATCCTATTTTTTAATTTATACTGCTGAATTAGTTTTCTCTTGGCAGTGCACTGTGTAGCTTCAGGGTGCAATGGAAAAACAAAATGTTAAGCTGGAAAAGCTCTGTATTCCCCACTAGTTCCAGATGCCCCAAAACAATAGATAGAAATCCTGCTCAGTTGAACTTTTTGAGAGACATCCATATTTTCAGAAGGACAAAGCTTCAGATAAATAGGAGATCAAAGCTGCCTCTGTATTTCCAATTACCTGTAGCCTGGGAAAAAAGGAATTATACTGACTTCTTTACCTGGATGTTGCCTGGGAGGCTAGGGACCAAGTTAGGAAAGCTAAGGCCCAGTTAGAATTAAACTTGGTTAGGGGTGTTAAGGATAACAGGAAGGGATTCTATAGGTACATAGTGAATAAAAAACAGACTAGGGACGATGTAGACCCCCTCCAGAAGCTATCAGGAGAAATGGCAACCCTGGATTTGGAGAAAGCTGAGGATCCAAATGTCTTCTTTGCCTTGGTCTTCACTGGCAAAGGCTCTGACCGCACCACCCAAGTCTTGGAAGGCAGATGCAGGGACTATGAGAATGAAGACCCTAGGCCCACTGTAGGAGAGGATCTGGTTCGAGACCATCTTAAGAACCTGAACGTACACAAGTCCATGGGACCTGATGAAATCCACCCGCAGGTCCTGAAGGAGGTGGCAAATGAACGTGCTAAGCCACTGTCCATCATATTTGAAAGATCGTGGCAGTCAGGTGAAGTTCCTGACAACTGGAAAAAGGGAAATATAATCCCCATTTTCAAGAAGGGGAAAATGGATGACCCAGGGAATTACAGACCAGTCAGTCTTACCTCTGTACCTGGTAAAATCTTGGAGCCAATTCTCCTGGAAGGCATGCTAAGGCACATGAAAATCAACAAGGTGCTTGGTGACAGCCAGCACGGCTTCACTAAGGGGAAATCCTGCCTGACCAATTTGGTGGCCTTCTGTGATGGGTCTACAGAACTGATGGACAGGGGTAGAGCAGTTGATGTCACCTCCCTGGACTTGTGCAGAGCGTTCGATGCTGTCCTATACAACATCCTTGTCTCTAAATTGGAGAGACATCAATTTGATAGGTGGACCACTCGGTGGATAAAGAACTGGGTGGATGGCCACACAAAGAGTTGTGGTCAATGGCTCAATGTCCGCCTGGAGACCAGTAACGAGGTGTGTCCCTCAGGGATCGGTGTTGGGACTGGTCTTGTTCAACATCTTTGTCAGTGACATGGAGAATGGGGTTGAGTGCACTCTCAGCAAGTTTCCAGGTGACACCAAGCTGTGTGGTTTGGTTGATACACTGGAGGGAAGGAATGCCATCCAGAGACACCTTGACACGCTTGTGAGGTGGGCTGATGCCAACCTCATGAAGTTTAACCATGCCAAGTGCAAGGTCCTACACCTGGGTCGGAGCAATCCCAGGCACAGCTACAGGTTGGGCAGAGAAGAGATTCAGAGCAGCCCTGAGGAGAAGGACTTGGGGGTGCTGGTCGATGAGAAAATGAACATGAGCTGGCTTCAGTGAGCGCTCACAGCCCAGAAAGCCAACCATATCCTGGGCTGCATCAAAAGAAGTGTGACCAGCAGGTCGAAGGAGGTGATCCTGCCCCCCTACTCTGCTCTTGTGAGACCTCACTTGGAATACTGTGTGCAGTTCTGGTGTCCCCAACATAAAAAGGACATGGAACTGTTGGAACAAGTCCAGAGGAGGCCACGAGGATGATCATGGGAGTGGAGCACCTCCTGTATGAAGACAGGCTGAGAAAGTTGGGGCTGCTCAGTCTGGAGAAGGCTGCGTGGAGACCTCATAGCAGCCTTCCAGTATCTGAAGGGGGCCTACAGGGATGATGGGGAGGGACTATAGTAATAGTAATAGGTAATGGGTTCAAACTTAAACAGGGGAAGTTTAGATTGGATATAAGGAAGAAATTCTTTACTGTAAGGGTGATGAGGCACTGGAATGGGTTGCTCAGTGAAGCTGTGAATGTTCCATCCCTGGTGGTGTTCAAGGCCAGGTTGGATAGAGCCTTGGGTGACATGGTTTAGCATGAGGTGTCCCTGTCCATGTCAGGGGGTTTGGAACTTGATGATCTTAAGGTGCTTTCCAATCCTAACTATTCTATGATTATATCCACTAACCAGTCTACTGCATCTTTAGGCTTTGCTACTCTTCAACTCCCACAGCAATGCTAGGAACATCCTCACCTGCAATACAGTCAATAAAATAGGCAAGGGCTCTCCTTAGTCTCACATAGATGCTTAATTTTAGAGATAAGAACAGCCTGGGATTCTTATCCATCAGTGGAATAACTTACGTCTGAGCTTTATGTAGATTTTTAGGCTTTTTTTAGCCACACTTTTGCTCAAAATCATTAATAATACTGTAGAACCACATAAATACAGAAATAAAAGAAGGATGAGTATAAAACGCAAGTGGGGGGAGGGTGGAGAAAAGCCTTCCTGACAAGCAACCTCTCACTTTTTTTTTTTTCCCTTTTAATTTTAAATAAAGCTGTCTGCGAATTTGAGCCTAGGGAGACCTTCATTAAAACCAATTAATCAGTCAGCCTCTCTGATGAATAGCTTTCTGGAGACAAAATCTCAAAATAGGGCTTGGGAGCAAGGTGTGCTAGCCTCCTGTTGTCCCTGCAGGGCCACAGCCTCACACCCCCGCTCCACCGCAGCGGGGTGAACACCGGGTGAGAAGGATCTGTCCCATCGCCGGTAATCAGCCGCTGGGGAGGGCCGCAGCCCACCTGGGGCGGGGAGCCCTTGAGGCCTGGAGCGGGTGCCCCGGGCCTCCGGCGCGCCGCTGGGCAGGTGAAGGCGGGGTCTGGCGGCCTCGGCTCCCCTCGAGAGCGACTGCCCCTCGGTTTAGTGACCTCGTGAGGAGCTGGTTGCTTCCCTCCGGGTACAGTGGAGATGACGGCCGCCTTAGGAGCCAACTCCCGGCGCCCGGGAGAGCTCCCTGTCTGGGTACCAGTTCCCTGGCCCCAGCACCTATCCTAGGAGCAGCCTCCCCCGATCGCTATGGCAGCCCCCGACCCCACCACTGCCTGCGAGAGGCCGAGGAGGAAAGTTATCGGCGGGGCGCGCCCTACCCTTCTCCCGTCCCCTCACACATCCCCCTCGGTGCGGGACGGCAGCTTCCGCCGCCCCCGCGGCGAGGCGGCGCGGGTGTCCCCCGGCGGCGGGCGCAGAGGGCGGCCCGGGTGCCCTGCTCCTCCCGCTGCAGGCGGCCGCCGCCGGGGCAGCACAGCTGTTACAGAGCGGCGCTGGTCCCTCCTCCCAGCTGCGGCTGCCTCATCTCCCCCCACCCAGCCCGTCCCTCCCCTCCGCCGCTCCCGACGCTGCTGCTGCTGCCGCCGCCGCCACCGCCACCTCCTCCTCCCCACCCCCACCCTCTTTCTCGCTCCCCATCTCTCTCGCTCCGTCCCGTTCCCCCCTTGCCCCCGCCTTTCCCCGCCCTGCCGCCGCCGGCCCTGGCAGAGCAGGCACCGCAGGGGGATCTCGATGTAACACCATGACAGGCATCGCCGCCGCCTCCTTCTTCTCCAACGCCTGCAGGTTCGGGGGCTGCGGGCTCCACTTCCCAACCCTGGCAGAGCTCATCGAGCACATTGAGGACAACCACATCGGTAAGTGCCCGGCGGGGCTGGGGCAGGGGCCGCGGCAGGGCAGGACGGCGGGGGGCGTGGGGGCCGCGTGTTGCGGCGGCGGCGGCGCGGGGTGGGGGCGCACAAGGTGCAGCGGGAGCTGGGGCGCGGCGGCGGCCGCCGGGAGAGGGAGGTCGGCGGGCGAGGAGTGGCAGGAGCGGTCCTGCGGGCGACGTGGAGGGCTCCTCGGGGAGGCGGCGTGTGGCGCGGCGGCATGGGTGGGTGCGGGGGAGGCGTGCAGCTCGCCGGCCCTGGCGAGGGGGAGTTAGTTTGCATTGGCAGGAGGGAGTGCAGCAGCAGCCCGGAGGAGGGAGGAGGACGGGCACAGCACGCCGCCTGCTGCTTCCGCCCCGGCTCTGGCTGTCAGGGCTCCGGGGAGGGAGGGAGCCGCCGCCGCGGCAGCCATTCCGCTTCCTCCTCCTCCCGCCGCCGCCACTGCGTCCTGTCAGCGCTGTTGCTAGGTGTGGTGGGGAGGATGGGTCGCGCTCCGGCCGCACCGGCCGCCGCAGCGCGGGTGGCGCTTCTCGGCGGAGGAACGACGTGAGGGAGGCCGAGGCCGGTGGCGCGGTGGGCGTGGAGAGAGGGTTCGGCGGCGGGCGGGAGGCTAGGCTGGGGGGGCGGCCCGTGCCGCCGGTGCAGTGCCCGGGGCCGGCCGGGCGGGAGGCGAAAGCGGCCGCGCTGGGATCCGCTGCCGTTATCCGCGCAGCCCAGCCCAGGCCGCGGATTGCAGTGCGGGCAGCGCTGCCCCAGATCATCACCTGTAGGCTCGGCGCGGAGCCCCCCGCTCCCTTCGAGCGCCCGTCCCGCCAGGGGCGCGGGGGCGGGACCGCCGCCGGGCCTGCGGGGCGATGACTCGTCAGTGCCTTCCCGGCGAGGGCGCCTCATGGGCGGCGGGCGGGAGCGTGCGCAGGGGCCGCCGGGGCCGCCCCTCGGCAGCGCGGGCGGTGCCCAGGGGAGGAGGGGGCGGTGCGCGGTTCCCGGCCGGCCGCGGGCGCCAGCTTTCCTTCTCCCCCCTCCGGCGGGACCGGCCTGCCCGCGCGCGGCCGGGCCTGAGGCGCTGAGCCGGGCAGAGTCTGTCAGCCGGCACCACACCGCGCCGCACAGCCCGGCTGCTAGCGAGGCATCGTGTCCCCCCAAGCCGGGCATAGCACCGCCGCTGGGCCGCGGCCGTCCCGCGGCTTCGCTCTTCGTCATCGGCAGGTGTGCTGCCCTGGCTTCCAGGCCACTTACCTTCTCGAGCTTCTCGACTGTCTCTTGCTGCTAATAAAATACAGCGCTTAAACTGTCAAAAATATTGAGCTAATTCTTTGAAGCAGTCCGAGTTTTAAAATCGGGTGGAAAATACAGAAGTTTCAAGTACCCAGAGACTGGAGGCTCCCGTGTTTCGCTGGAAGTATGAGGAAACAACACGCTGCTGCAAAACAATGAAGCTAGCGTGCATTTTGGTTTATTAAGTTTTAATAGGCAGGCCTGAATACCTGAAAAAAATCTCTAAAGCTAAATTGCAGGTGTAACATTACATTAATGTAGTATTCCAGGTCAGCAAGATGAAAGGTGTGGTTCTCATCACGGTGCCTGGTATGAGGTAACAAAACCACGTACCGCAAGACTCTGTAATTTATGACTCGACGTGGTGCAAGCGTACTGTTGTTATATTGTTGGGGTTTTTCTGAATCTTGGGCTCCTAGCTTTTTTGATAACAGTTATCCACCCCATTCCACCAGAAAAGCCATGGGGAAATAGTTTCCCAAAATGAAAGTTCACAAGTCATCTTGTGTGTCCCTCAAGTGGATTATCAGCCTTTAGGTGCCACAGCCCACAGAGTGTCAGAAAAGATAACAGGGCAAGCCCACGTGGTCTGTGCATTGCTGTTTGATCCCTGATCAGCGGTCCTGAGACTCCTCTGAGGAGAGGAAAACTTCATGCTGAAATACTGTAATGTCTTAAAAAATGCATATTCTGTGGCCAGTATTCATTGCTTTTTTTTTCCCTGTCTCAAAGTATTACAGCTTAAACACACATATACATTTAATTGAGAATGTCATTTGCCAAGACTTGCATGGCAAACAACTGAACTTGGCATGTACGGTGTCACACATGCAGCTGATTGAGCGCAGACTGGTGGAGAGTGACATAAGGTTGCTCATGCTTCATCTTTAATATTTCACCTCAGTGTGATGGTAGGTTAAACTTGACCTGCTTGCAAATACATGAAATGGCGATCTTATGTTATTTGCTTGTATTGAACACTGGAAAAATCAGGAAGTGGTGACACTGAGTCTGGATCCCAGTTCTCCCATGGATGCTCAGCTGCATGGTTCTGTGTGTGTGTGTGTGTGTGTGTGTGTGAGGGTCTCCCTACAGACCCTGAAGAATGAGAATCTATGAAAACTGACCACGTAAGGCCTTGGCCAAAAGGTGATTAACCTTTCCAAAGACAGCTAGGAAATAATGGAGTAAATATCTGAATAGGAGCTTACGTTAGAATTACTTTCTCAGTAAGTCAGATGCAAACAGTATTCAATTTTTTGCTGTCATAGAGGTCTAGAGATGTGCCCTGAAGTTTGTTACTTTAAAAATTGACTGTATTTTTTGGCTAAGAGTAACATGCCATATAAAAACATATTGCTTTGGTCATTCTGTGTTTGCTGCAGGAAAGCAACTTGATTGAGTTACATTCCATTATTAAACAGTTCAAACTGAATCAGTTGATTGCTGGGCAGGGCAGTGTTACATCACAGATCACAAACTTGATGCTGCCAACAGCTTTGTGAGGAAAGGTGTGTATGGCATGGCCTCTTCGTGCTCTGGCTGCAGTGGGTTAATACTGGCTCATCTCACCAGTGGAGTGCTGGCAAGAATTTGGTCATTCTTCAGAGCTATACCGTGTCTCTGAAAAATGTAGGAACAAATACTTATGAAGGGATCCTTCTTTGGTCAGCCTTGCACGTAAAGCTTAATTGAGTATAAGGAAACACTGTTGGGGCATTGTGGGGACACAGTGTGTTTGGTTCCTGAGGGATTCTGTAGGCACTTTCCTAATAACGCTGATGAATAATCAGCTGTTGGTTTTTTTCCTCTAACTTATTAGTGGCTGCCTGATAAATTGCCAGTTATTTAAGTATCAGTGCAGATAACTTGGGAGAGTTATGGCTATTGGATGAAATATTCAACTCTGAGGTGATACTATGTGCCTATCAGCATTTCAGCTGCTTTCTGGGTTTAGCATTTCTGTATTGAAGACTTGTGAAGAATTAGGCTACTTCAGGAATACTGCTCTGGGGTCTTTCTTAAAGCCTTACTGGTGTCATCTGCAGTGAGATGCCATTCTGCAGGAGGAACTCTTCTAAGAAGTCTGTCGCAATGCTATCAAACTGTGAACGCACATTTTCTGTAGTTCACAGCTGAAAAGAGACGTTGTTTTAAAACGTTTCTCTGAGGTTTTTCTAGCAGCGTGTTGTCCAAGCAACCTGAAGTGCTGTTATCCTCTCTGCGACTGTATCGAGAAGTGGGGCTTTTAGCCTGCCCTGGTAGACTGTCTCCCTGCCTCTTGTTTGTTTGGCTGCTCTAGTCCCTTGCAGATAGTTTAGTTGACTAATGTCTCTAGTCTGGGAGCAAAAGGCCTAATTTACTGTTCTTTGCTGGATTCACAGTGTAGAATGGAATGGACTTAATCCAGTCAGTTCCTCAGAGTACTGCCAAGAGAAGAGGAAAAAATAAGGACGGACACACACACATGACACCAAGCCTGAACTGCTGAGTATTCAGCTGTGGCAACATGGCAGATTTGATTGCGTATCTGCAGTCCTGGTCATGTCGTCAGCTGTGATGTTAGAAATGGCACCCCTGGTTCTACAGTGCTTCTGAAATTGCATTAACTCTTAACTTGGTGTAAGTAATCTTCTGGGGCATTTTCAGCTGTTCATTGGAAGTCCAGAGGGTCACACACTTTGGTTTCTGGGGGCTTAGGGGAACTTCCTCAATCTACCCATAGTTGAGCTGCATCCTTTAGAGTGGGGGTCAAGTAGCTCCTTAAAGCTAGTTGCTGATACTAAGTTTATTGTGATGCTGAAAAGCCAGTATTTAAACTCGGGAGATAAGATTTTGACAACACTCGGTGCATGATGAGTACTGACATGATGTATGTACCTGTGTAGCTGTATGGCTGATTTGAGACTTGTGAGACTCGTCAAGCACTGGGGAAATGGGTGTCTGAAAAATAACAGTGATGAACTCAAAGTGATGGAAGAGTGGATAGGAGGAGATACAGAAGATAAATCTGAAGACACTTACCTTAGTGGAAGTAGAGTTTGTTAATTTTGTTGCACTGAAACTTCTAGAAGAATTTGGGGGGGGGGGGGAAATGCCATCTGCTTATATAGTAATTACACAAACTAAGATGATTTACTGTTGAACACCTCAACATAACTTTGTAAGAAGTCCCTGTGTTGGATAGCTTCTAGCAAGGTATTTATGTAGTGCTGCTGTCAGAACTAGGAGTTATGTATTTCCCATCAAAGTTGATCAATTCCCAAATATTAGGATATTCCCAAACACAGAAGGTATTAGCGCGTGCAGTGTGTTGTGTAAAATGAGCATAAACAGTTGCAAGCCTTCTGTGTTGCTAAAGATGAGGATGAGAGACTACACACCAGCATTTATGGAAGGCCTAGCAAACTAAAATCTGTATGAAAGAGTTTGTTCGCTTAAAGCCAAGCTCTTCAGAAGAGTGTGAACATCGTTTAAGTGGTTACTGTCATTTAGAGTTTGCTGAATGTGTAATTTAACATTTGGAGCTGAGACTGGTGGTTTTGAAGAGGTGATAGATCTTAACTCAAGGCTTTTTACAGTGAGAGTGAGTGATGTGGCAAATAGGTATATGGGATGGTGTTTGGAACAGGTGCAGACAGACTGTGCTTAGTTGCCAGTAACGTGCATAAACATGTGGTCTTGCAAAATAAATGAACAATGACGTGTATTTA